GCCAGGACACCGGGAGAAACTCCCTCATCTTTTCAAACAATGCCATGGGATCTTTTAACCTGCACCTGAACAGGCAGAGGAGACCTCTGTTTAATATCTCATCTGAAGGATGAAATAGTGGTTTCCAATGGATATCAGCCAGACATAGGCATTCAATTCCTATCATTATACTTTGAAAACAAAGAGCATTATCCATAAGGAAATTACATGAAGGCGATGAAACTTCATCAACAAACTATAGTCCTGCAACCCTTTCTTTCTGCCCAGTTGCCATTATCTTGAATATGCTTTGCCATGAAGGGATGGTTTTAAAGAGGCAAGCTTACCTAAAAGTGGCATTCGTAACATGTTTGGTTTCACAGGACACATTTATGTTCTCTGTATTACTGCCGTGAACCCATCCTCACTCAGCTCACTGGTTCCCGTCACCCCCAATCTCAATTGTGGGCTTTGATAGGATAACAGCTTTCTGGTAAACCAAAAACTCAAACAGCTGATGTAATAATAATCTTTGCATTTGAAATAGCGCCCCTTCATGTCTTCGAGACATCTCAAAGTGCTTCACAGAATACACTGCAAAATGAATTGCCCGTATATCTTGTGGGCGAAATGAGGCAGTCAATTGCACAAAGCAGTGTCCAACAAACAGTCGTGGATTGATTATTGATTATTATTTATTTATTTGAAGGGATTTGAATTGGAGTCCTGTAGCTCAATGGTTAGAGCACTTGCCTCGCAAGCGAGGGACCTGGGTTTGATTCCCTGCCAGGGTAAAATTTTGGGCAAGTTTCCTTGCTCCACATGCCTCTGTTTACCTATGTAAGTAGGAACCCGGTTGTTAGTCGATTGGTGGATTGCTTTTCTGGGGGTGATAATTCCTTAAAAAAATGTAGTCACTCAATTCACGACTGTTTGTGGGACACTGCTGTGCGCAATTGGCTGCCGCGTTTCGCCCACAAAATATACAGTCAATTCACTTCATAGTATATTCTGTGAATCACTTTGAGACGTCTCAGAGACATGATAAGGAGCTATATCAAATGCAAGGGTTATTATTACCCCAGAAAAGCGATCCACCAATCGACTAACAACTGGGTTCCTACTTACTGCCTGGTAAATAAAGGCGTGTGGAGTAAGGAAACTTGCCTAATGTTTCGCCCTGCCGGGAATCAAACCCAGGTCCTCTCGCTTACAAGGCAAGTGCTCTAACCACTGAGCTACAGGACTCCACAATAACCAGCACTGAACTGGCGCAAAATGACTAATTGTAAACTCTGAAAGCCCACAAAGTGCAAAACATAACAGTCGGAGAGCAAAAGGGAACAATGACATTTCACTCTCTGGATTTTTTCCCACTTTGCCAAGTTTCCAGAAACAACGATTAGCTGGTTTGTGAATAAGACTGCGAGACGCCTTTGGATATCCCCAAACAGTCGTACTCAGTGTATGAAATCCATTTTTGTGAGTATCATAAATTAGGCCCCAGTGGTGACAAAGAGTTACTTGCACTCGTGGAATAGTTATTCATTGAATAACTATGAACAAATAAAAACCTGCATTTGATATAGTGCCTTATCATGTTGTTGTTCAAAGAACTTCACATGATTTGCGGTGAAGTGTATTGTTTTGTATTTTACAACAAGTTATAGGCAAATGCTGCAGCCAATGTGTGCACAACAACAACTTGCATTTATACAGCATCCTTCAAATGGGAAAAGTCTTGTAGCGCTTATTTCGCTTGAGTTGTACAACTAATACCAAGAACAATTTTGAAACCTTTTTTTAAATCAAGTTTATGTCCCACAAAAAGCCATGAAGTGAGGGACCAATTTTATTTTGGGAATTGCTGGCCAGGCATTGGGAGAAATGTCCCTTTTCAAACCGTGCTATGGGATCTTTAATGTCCAATTGAACAGGCAGACATAACCTTGATTTAGCATCTCATTTGAAGGACGGAGCCTCCACAATCCATCGCTTCTCCAGCCCTGCACTGGGGTGTCAGCCAACTCCACATTGGAACTTTGAACTCACAGTCTAGGCTCCGACAATGCATAGTCAGAGGTGCTGTCCTCACATGAGATGTGTAACCGAGGTCTTGTCTGCCTGATCAGGTGGACTTTATGATCTTATGGCACCACTCAAAGGACAAGAGAGTTTCTCCTAGTAAGATGGATTTTAAAGCCTAGACTATGCCAAGAAAAGGCCTGACGTGGGACTTGAACCTACATTCCTCTCACTTGGAGACTAAGCCAGACTGACACCTGGACAGGAAAGGAAATGAACGAAATACAGACAAAAGCAACATTTCTGTATGGACTGAATGCACACTATACTGTGAAATACTGCAGCTCAAGCTTTGTGTTTTAGCAAAAACAAAATACAGGTGGTGTCTTGTACACCAGCGATGGATTTCCTAGGCTTTCTGAATAAAAAAACAGGCTTTAGCTGTCAAAAATATATTATTATCTGCAACTGAATATACACATTGGAACAAATACATGTTTTGGTTTTGCCAGCTTTTGCAGTGGGACTGTCTGAAAGGTGCCCCAAGGCTTGGCTTTGGAATAGTCTCTTCTCACAGCATTATGTGCTTGCCATCAGCAATGCAACTAACAAATTAATAACCGCACATCACTGCAAACAAAATCCTGTTTCTTTCTCAAGCTTAACTCAATACTTTTCCTGACTTGTTGCCATAGTCAGTGATGGCAAACATTTTTGGGCTGGCTAACAAAACAATCATAGAAATAACAAAATAGCAGGATTTATGCCATGAATCAAGAACTATTCAAACAAGAAACATTTATTTTGTTGGCCAATTATGACTCCATTTACACAGTCACAATACACCTGGAGCAGATACTAAGACACCTTTCTCGTGGGCACAAATGGAAGGGTGTTAGGCACTAGGTGGATGTTGGCGAATGAAATTATATCACTGTTGCCTCTGAGTCAGAAGGTCCTGGGTTCAAGGCCTAAGTTGGGACTTTGAACTCACAGTCTAAGCTGACACTCCACTGCAGTGTTGAGGGAGGTGCTACATTATTGGAGATGCCATCCTCTGGATGAGATGTGAAACTGGGGACCTGACTGCCTGTTCAGGTGGACATTAAACATCCCACTTTTCGAAAAGAGAAGGAAGTTTCTCCCAGTGTCCCGACCAACAATCCCCCAAATAAAACAGGTCACTCATTTCACGGCTGTTTGTGGGACAATCATGTGAGCACACTGGCTGCCGCGATCACCACCAAATACACAGTCACTACTCTTTTCAGTAAAATCTTGCGAAGCACTTTGAGACTGTCCCCTGGAGCGAAAGTTGCTGTCGCAAATGTAAGAATTATTTATTATTATTATTTATTTTATTGTTGTTGTCAATAAGACAAATGTGTTTTACAGGGGGAAAAAAAATCCACATTTCACAGTAAATCTCCTACATTAAAATTGTATGCTTGCTAACAGCAACGCAACTAAATTAATACCCGCACACCACTTAGTACATAATCCTATTTTCCCTCAAGCGTAACTCAATAACGTGCCATCTTCTCCTGACCTGTTGCTGCAGATTGCTTTGCAGTGCCACATTCTCCCTCGTTCCTGTCCTTTGTGACTCCATTTACATAGTCACAAAGGTTCGATACATGGGTGTGCGTGTGTGTGCGCTCCTTCAGCAGTCTGCTGCTGGGTTCGTGATGGTTTCCATGGTGACCAGAGAGATAATCACAGTGAAGCGCTCTTCCTACCCAACAGCATACACATTAAATTATCCCACATCAACACAGTAACTTTCATCTATACCTTTCGCGCTAGTGGAGAAGCCATACGTATTCTGCTTTTGCTGGGGTCAAACCTTCCTACGGCTGACACTAGGCATGAATTCTCCAAACCCAATTCAATTCCCAAGAGCATTAAGCAGCAAACGCTTCATATACCTGAACTTGCTCAACAGTCGCGGTGGAACTGAAAGTATTCCAGATTCCACAGTCCCACAAAAAAAATTATACATTCTTTTTTTCGGCCCAACTGAAAATGTAGTTTTCAGAACTCTTCCTATGCCAGCTGAGATTTCCGTCCCAATTAAATAAAGAACTCGGAGCCACTGGCTGTCAAACGGGTTATCCCCGAAAATAAACACATCTCTCTGCTTTATGCAGCTGGTGACACTCGTACTGTGCAGACTTATGCAACTGAGGCAAATTAAAAATAGAATCGGGAATTCAGAAACCAGTTCCAGAAACAGAATACTCGACACAATACAGTGTGTACCAGCCGGGCATGTCAGGCCCTCATGGACACTTGTGAGGTTTGTTGGTGAAGTTCGTCTCACTCAGGCATCAAGACTAATATCACCTCTGTTCACATCCAGTAATCCTGTACTTACAGGCAAAGAATTGAATCGTCTGAGGGAGGGGATGTGTTGAGAGCGAGGATTTTTAGTATTAATTTGACTTGGTCCATGAGCACTGAACAGTGTCTCTGTCAACTTAGCTGTGGCAGGGAGGGAGGGAGGGGGGGAAGGAAGCCTCCTTGGGCTTTGGTGGTAAGATGGACATTCTTGTACGCAGAAGCCAGTCTAAAATTAACAAGTCTCTGGTGTAACTGGAAATTAGAAGAGATGATCCATTGTGAAGTTCATCTCCTAGTCTGAAGCCATTTTAATAGACTCGTTCACAAAGGAATATATATATATATATATATATACACACACGGTTAAGGAACAGGATTGGAGGGTACAGAAATAGGTGCAGTTCGAGGATGGCCTTGTGAAATGGGTTACCGGGAAAGGGTGGTTGAGGCCAGGATACTCGACTCATTTATAAAACAGCTTGAAGCTGTGATGCGTGGGTTTTCTGGAAGGATACGATCAGATGGGCTGAAGGGCCTTCTTCATCCAAACCAATCCTGTGATCTTGAATATTTGTTCCTATTCTTCTGGACAAACAGACACGGAGAAACTCCAGAGTATTGATGGTGCTGTGGTCATGCTCAGCCTTACTTACCTCTTCCCGTTGACACCGCGGAGCACAGCTTTCCCCGGATCTTGAGACACAGCTTCCAGTTCCTGAACCTCCTGCAGCAAGCTTTTCCGACAGGTATGAAAGCCCCTGTGCCAGGACACAATAGGTTACAGAATCAAACAGCAGCTGTAAAAATACACAAAACAGAAGACTTGCCCCATCGTCTGTAAATATATCGATCTTGGCGGCGAGATTGTCTGGTTCGCTTCAGTCATTCAATTATTAATTTTAGTTTTATATTACTGCTTTTTTAGCTCCACATCCACGGGGAGAAATTCCACATCAGTCTAGTTTTACACTATTGATGTAGAATTTTAGTGTGCGGAATTTGGCAAATTGTTGCAACCCGTCTCAACTTTGAAGTCGTCTTGTTTTCTGTGGTTCTTAAAAGAAACTTACAGGGAAAAAAAAACACTTCTAAATTAACACTGTGTTTAAGAATTTGTCATTTTCTGGCATTCCGAAATGCTAAGAAAATAGAATAGATCTGGACCCTGATGGAATTTCTGCCCAGCTAGTCTCCGAAGCTAAGAAAGAGTGGACAAGTAAGGGTCTGTCTAATGGGTCACACAGCTACAAGCAAAAAAAAAATACCGATTGAGGCCAACAGTACACTCTTAGGACAGAAGAAGATTGCGCAGTAGTGGGGAGAGGAACTGTGGGAAAGAGATCATTCATGGGTAAGGGGTGAAGAGGAAATATGATGGCACTGTCAGGGCAAGCTTTCCTGCTGCTTGTTCAGCTAGGACTATCCTTCTCGTTAGGTCTTTGGTCTGCAACGTTAACAGGAGCTGAGTGGGATGATTCCCTGACCGCAGTGACTGGTCTGCCCTACCAGCTCCTGCCTATGAGCCAGGCTGCCTGTGCTGTCATCAGCAGTGCCCTGGAATACTGCGGATCCACCTGGCTCAGGAACCGGACTACCGAGACTGCTACAGAGGGCTGGCTCGATTCCGAATGTCACCTTGGAGCCAGCTCAGCTCCATGGAAACCCCGCTTACCTCCACCCTTTGCCCCTAGGAGGATAGTGAAGAAATGAAATGATTCAGCAGAAGCCATGAGACCCCTCCTCTCAGAAATCCACACTGCCAATTTACAATGGAGGTGGTAGTGGGGGCGGGGAGAGATACTCAACATCTGGATTCATTTGATTAAAAATACAACTTGTAATCCCCACCGCACCCCAGCAGATATATTCCCATTATGTCCTCTGCCACATCTTGCACTTTAGCTTTGAAGATGCATTTACAACAGAAATTGAAGGCTCTGTCAACAGGGACAGGGTATTAACTCGATACACATCTCAGTGATCCAACAAGCTCAGAATTCACACAGCGAAACTCAGGAGCAAATTCACTATCACATGGAAAATCGACTGCCTACAACAACTAAAGAAAACAAAATTCAAAAATGAAGGGATTGTTGAAAGCTGCACTAAAAGATAATAAGGTATTATTATTAATAATCAGACATATAAGATATGTCTGCTCTTAATAAGAATAACCTTTGCTATATCAAATGCAAAGATTATTATTAATATTATTATTAAGGGCAGAAAGAAAAAAGTACTGGAAAAATTAAACAAAAGGCTCAGCCAATTAATCTAAACTCAGTAATAATAATAATCCTTAATACTAATAATAATCCTTGCATTTGATATAGGGCCTTATCACATCATTAAGACGTCTCAAAGCACTTCACAGAATATACTGTAAAATTAGTTGACTGTATATTTTGTGGATGAAAAAGTAAGTGAAGGCAGGCTCAGACCAATGTGGAAATGAGGCATAAAAACTCAAGAGGATTCCGGGTTCAATCTGGTCCATTTTAGTCGTGGTGCTGCTAATATTGACCTCGGCACCCCAGGAGAATACAAACTTAAGGAGGGCTCTCTGCTCTTCATCGCTGTCCTATGACCTCTGCTGGAATGTGCGTGCTTGTAGTCTTTGGACAAGAACAGAATTGGATTCGGCTGCAAGATCTGCCATGGTTGAATAGCTGCTGACACTTACTGCTTGGTCTTGCGCCCCCCCTCCCCCACCCCACCACGCAAACAAGAACAACCAATTGGTCAATTTGCCAGCACAAAGTCCCTCTTGTTGCCCTGGTGGCTGAGGCGGAGGTTCCTTTGTGAGGGAGAGTTCAGTAGACGCTGTGAATGTGAAGGGTCACTGCTCTGAGAGATGAGGGCCTCTCATCACGTGGAGCCTGAAGTTGGTGGGATGATCGAGAGGATGTTCGGGTGATCTCAGCCATCTAATTGTCCAAATTGTCTCAGAAAGAAATGAGATAAGTGCTCGATAAAGAGGAATATGAATATGTACGGGGAAGGAGCAGGGGACAGTGGGCTTAAAATAGGTGGAAACACTCAGCAGGTCAGGCAGCATCTATGGAGAAAGGAACGTTTGTGTTTGACTCACTTTCCTTTCTCCATAGATGCTGCCTGACCTGCTGAGTGTTCCCAGCGACTTCTGTTTTTCTTTCAGATTTCCAGGATCTGCAATATTTTATTTGTTGTTAAAATAGGTGGCTTAGGTGGAAAAAAACACGAGCAGAGACTCGATGAGCTGAATGGCCCTTGTCTGTCCCGTAACATTCAACGATTCTATCAATTAGGAAACATCCTGGCATAAAGACTTCAAAAACAAATCAGCTGCATAAATAACAGATGGGATGTGAACAGTAAATGCTATTCTGGAATATACTATTCTGCAATTCTTCCCAAACTCACTTCTCCTCACACCAACCCAACCCTTCTCTCCCCTTCTCACTCCACCCCTCCCCACCCAGTGAAAAACAATGGCAAACGTTGCATTTGCAAATTCAGTGTCCATTGAATGTCCATTTATGACAATTTTCATTAATTTGGAAACCTGTTTTTTAACTTATGCGTGTTTTTTACTAGCCTGAAAGGCAGCAGAGGAGATCTGTAGAGGGTACTAGTCAGTGTCACTGTCGTCCAGTAACCAAAAAGTTCACATTAAAAGCTGGACCCAAAGGAGTAGATAGAGGTGTTATATGTGATGTGTGATTGTGTGTGGTGTATCCCTGTGTGTGATGTGTACCTGTGTGCAGTGTTTCTTTGTGTGTGAGTTGTGTGCCTGTGTGTATGGGGCGTGCCTGTGTGTCTGGTGTGTGTGTTTTGTTTGCCTGTGTGTGGTGTGTTCCTGTGTATATGTGGAGTGTACCTGTGTGTGTGTGTGAGGGGTATGCCTGTGTGTGTGGGGTGGGGTGTGCCTGTGTATGGTGTGTGCCTGTTGTGTATGGTGTGTTGTGTGTATGGTGTGTACCTGTGTGTGGTGTGTGCCTGTGTGTGGTGTGTGCCTGTGTGTGGTGTGTGGGTGAGCTACTGAAACCTATGTTGTCTTTTAAACTTGCTTCTCCAATTAAAAACTACTGCACCAGATTGACTGTTATAACGACACAATAGTGACACAAGAACACATGCCTCAGGGAGCCAAACACTTGCATGTAGTTTGAGTGTTACTTACGCTCTCCACGCCAAATCTTTTATCAGACATGCAGTGGGCACCAGAAACAGACCCAGCCAGAAGATCCCGCAATTAACCACCATCCAGGCCTGAAAAAGACAGAAGATAGACATGAAGAAACTCTCTGTGCACTAACAGGTCATGGCTGCTGGGTATGGAGGAGTAGATTAGCTTGGAGGAGCCAAGCCTTAGTTCTTATAGAAGTGGATTTGTACCATTTGACAGATATCACTGGATGATTTCTGGTCCCTGAAGGTCTCTTACAATAAAGAGGTACTTTATCCTTATTAGCAGCAAAGCAAATTCTCTCATCTCACATCGGTCTGATACACAGGTTTCATCTGTCAATTGTAAAGTCTGAAACCTTTCAATCACACGTTTCAACAAAGTCACAATTTTAAAATCTGGGGTTCACATAATTTTTTCAACTGTGAAAATAATAACCATCTTTGCATTTCGTATCGTGGCTTTCACTTCATGAGGAGGTCTCAAAACACTTCACAGGATTTACTGTAATGTGTAGTGGCTGCGTACATAAGAACATAAGAATTGCTGGATGAAAGAAGACCAAGGTCCATCCAGTTTGCCTTCCACCATCCTGGAAGTCTCATGCACATGTCATGTCCCAAACTAAATACTGTGTCTCAAGATATTATTTCCTAAAATAAATCTATCTAAATTGTTTTTTAAAGAATCGCCACTTTCTGCTTCCACCATCTCCCTCGGGAGCTTGTTCTATACATATTATACTCGCTCACTGAAATAGTGTTTCCGCAGATTTGTCTGTTATAGACGAACGGGGCAGCCAATTTGCACACAGCAATGTGTCGCAAATAGCCATGAAATGAATGATCATTTTTTGAGGAATTGTGGGCCAGGACAATGGGAGAAACTCCTTTAACTTTTTGAGCTGTGTCATCAGATCTTTAACGTCCACCTGAACAGGCACTGACGAGACCTGAGGTTAATATCTCATTTGAAGTTCAGCACCTCCAACAATGCAGCCCCACACTGCATTGAAATGTCGGCCCAGACTATGTGAGTTCAAAGTCCGAAGCGAGTCTTGAACTCACAACCTTCTAACTCACAAGCGAGAGTACAAACAACTCAGTCTAGGCCGACATTCCAAGATCCTTGTCCTCACCTTTAAATTCATCCGTAGTCTTGCCCCACCCTAGATCTTTGACCTTCTCAAACCTTACAAAACCACCCGTTCCCTCGACTTGGCAGCTCTGGATTGCTTCATATCCCCTGCCCTACCTGCCCCGCCATCAGCTGTCGAACTTTTATCCTACATGCCCTCACTCTCTGGAACTTCACCCTGGGGTCTCTATGACTCCTTCCTTCCCTCACCTGTTTCAAAGCCTCAAGATCTTCCTCCTTAACCAAGACTTTGGTCAGCTTTTGCAAACTCAGTCCTCCCCACGACACCCCATCCACACCCGCCTTGCAAACCCTGTACACTGAGACGTCTTGATCTGAAATGCACTATACAAATGTATTATTATTATTATGATAACTGAGCTAGCTAACATCAGAATAAACAATTGGCATGGAGGAGCTGGCACGAGCAGAGGCTAATCGAGCTGACTGGCCTCCGTCCATGCTGTAATTTCTACGATTCTATTGAATTTTTAAAATGAACAATCATCAAATTGATGTTGAAAACACGAACCTGACTCAGTTCACTTAACAATGCTCACAGAATAACAATGAGAGGTATTGTTACCTCAATGTGGAGTTTCCAAGCAGCCGAGGTTCTGGAAATTCCACTGAACTGGGCTTGGGAATAGTTTTTGCTCTTGAAGAACGCTGTATGACTTGCAACTCAAAATCACACAATGCGGTTTGCAGATGCCAATGAAGTCTTAATGGCTAAAACAATCTCTAGTGCCAGACAAATCAACGAGACAGAGACGTCATGCTACTACTCCAAGATGCGTAACTCTCCATACGCAGTCAATTCACTTTACCGTATATCCTGTAAAGCGCTTTGAGACGTCTTCTGGCAGGCTAACTTGGCTGCCAATTTGGGTTTAACCAGCTAAAACTACAGAGCTTGCTATTGAAAGCACATTCCCGGCTAGCTTCCAGCTACTTGTCCACCTGTTAGGCCTTTGGCTTCCAGGGCTAACAGAAGCTGAGTGAGAAGAATCCCTGCCCCCAGTGACTGATTTGCCTCTGCAAATCCTACAGACGAGCCAGGCTGGATGGTCTGTCATCAGCAGTGCCCTGTTGTACCTTGGACCAGCCTGGCTCATAAACTGGACTATCGAGACTGCTCAGAGGATTGACTCGATTCCATTGCAGAGCAACTAATCTTGGAAACCGTTCAGCTCCAAGGAGACCCTGCTTACCCCAACCAAACCCCCCTACCCACCTCAAGGGAATAGTTACTCGTTGGTTATTTGATATTCAACACAGATTTGAGCCCTCACTAGGTGGGTGGCAAAAAGCTTCCTGGTGATCAGCACAGCTCAGCCTGAAACATGTGAGAGCAATGCCACCATTTTCCTGTTCACAGTCTTGGGCTCACATCCCTACCCACCGAGCCATGGTTCAACCAGTTGGAGGTGCAGAGCTTGAGCAGTCATGCCAAGTCTCAGAGTTTCCTGATCAGCTATCTGACGGACATCTGCCTTGAGCGTGGTGGGAGGATCTTTACAGAACAGCTTGTGACATGCTAGCCATCTTTACGGTCTCAAGGCCCATGTCCATTCCATCTTAAAATTATTTTTAAATGTTTTTAAAGTTTCTTTTTCTGCTTTTTGAAAGCCAGGTTACACACAGTATGCTACTGAGAGAATGGAGGACTTTTCCCTGTTGTAACTAGTGTGACTATGTAAGTGGGACCACGAGGTGTGTGGCAAGAGAACTGACAACTCCATCTTCTGATTTCCTATCTTCTTGAGGAAACCTCTGACATCGGAAAACTCACCATGTGAGGAAATTCCTCACCCCCCCATGCCCTTCCCGATGGGCTTGAAATCTTATATGAAGGACAGGGGAAAAGAGTAGATTACTCCACTGCGTAAGTTTGCATCAGCACAGGTAGAATGGATCAGGTCCTGTAAACTTTCTATGAATCTTCCAAATACGTACATTGTCAACCCTGCAATATTTTGTAGGACTGCTATTGAGCTGCTACTCATTCAGCACATTAAGGGGTTAAACATCATACAGTGCCATAGATAATGTTTCACAGACTGAAAGAAAGAGTTTAGATGGTAAGTGATGGCTAAGACGCTGACCTTAGATGCCACCCTTAACCTTTAAAGGCACAGGTCAACCTGACCCAGGGGAAGAACCATTAATTCTGAGAGTCTCAACCTCATCCATAGACCATGAGAGTCTGTGCCACAAAACCTGTACAAAGGTGATGCCTAACTCAGGATTTTTTTAAAGCTCTGAACAAGCTTGCAGCTGAGAGTGCAGCCACGCAATGTGGCAGTGTGGAGGGCTCCCTCTGGGAGGCTGGAGTAACAACTTTATTACAAAGACAAAGTGGAGATTATAATGACAATGGCCGACCGAGAGAGGACCGCTCTTCAGTGAATGTGACTGCCCTCATCTCATTGTCATTCAGCACACAAAGTCCGCATTACTGTTCATCCTAGTGTGCCAGGCAATAATGATCTATTATACAAGATACGTGTCCACTTTAACTTGATGCTTGTAAAATGCTAATAGCGCAAAAACCCAGCAAATTCACAGTGTATCAGTTATGGGGGGGTGGGGACTATTCTTTTGCTGTAAAGTACTTATATACTTTAGTGTAAGTTTTCACCTACAGTAGAGTCTCGTTATAAACCAGGGGTCGGGATTTAAGTGTGATAGCCGCACCATAACCCAATTAGCGCTATAAAGAAGCGTGCTATAAAAGGTTGGAGACGCAATTCTATAATTGCCTTTTGGTGGAAACTGGCACTGATGCGTTTTTAAAAAAAATGTGTTAAGTATTTCTGAAATACGCTGATGTGTTTTATTTAGCAAAAGACCGAACAGCCAAAAAACTAAAATGTTCACTTCTACTTTACTTTTAGAAAATCTTGTATAACGTTGTACCATTAGCCATCCCTCCTCTATATCATGCGAGGCACCAACAAACAAAGCTGGAATGTGCATGTTGAGCACAATTGCAGATGCTTTTTGCCCACAAAACATTCAGTCAATTCACTTTACATTATATTCTGTGAAGCGCTTTAAGACGTCTCGAAGACGTGATAAGGCTCTATATCAAATGCAAGGATTATTATTATTATTCTTAGGGCAACTAAGCATTTTTCCTTCTAATTTTCTTTCCATATCTCTTTCTTCTTTGCTAAAAGCAGTAACTTATGCTCGAATTTTGTTATACAGTGTTGGAGGATCAAGTGGTCATTTTGATTTTGTCAGCTGGATATCTGACACACGTGGAAATTATATAAAAGAGTCTCTGAGTGTCTAAACCAAACTAAAGAGTTTCACATATGTATAGCATCAATTTGCTCGGTATAAGGTATACACGATGTCCCTAGAAGGATCCAATCTGTTTACCTAATCCCAGAGAGTTTAGACAAAGGTTGCCAAAGGACAAGACTCAGGTTCAGTGAATTCATTATGAAGCCAAAACAGGACTAAACAATCTAAATAAATATTAAAAAATTATAAAAATAAATATAAAACAATATAAATCTGGATGAGAGTCACTCTTGCAATCTCTGAACTTATAGGTGTGAACGACTGGTCTGGCCTTGAATGTGAATGAGCCCATTAGCACTGCAAGTTCACCTGTTTTATAGCAAAGTACTCCACAAATCACAGTATCAGGAGGTTAATTGGGTGCTTCTGGGATATAACAGTCTATCAAACACAGAGAACGTTTTTAAAAAATCTGCTGTACATCATTATAATTAAATTTCCAGAGTTTCAAATGCTCTTCCACAATTAATAATAATCCTTGCATTAAAGGCAGGATTGGAATTTCCTGCAAAGCCTTTCAGTTCCAATGGGCATCATCGCAACCTCTGTTTGCTGAGGGATTGAGTGACACTGCATGACTTGCTGTGGCACATTGACATTAACCCCATCTCACTGATGACTTTCCCAG